GTTGATGCAGCTTATATCAACATTCCGGAAATTACGGCATACGGATATATAGTATAAGCAGCTACTGAGGTTAAAATATGTCTACTGCGTAACGTTTGTATCTAATTAGAAAGCGTTTTACTGTCAGAGCATCAGGAAGTGTACTATTAGCATGCTAGTTGTTGTAGCTTTACCGTAATAGCAACTCCTCTGTGGTCTCTGAAAGTTGTGAGAAGCTTTAATTAGTTGCCAGATTTTGGAACTAGTTCTGTTTTTCATCTTTTAATACAGCTAAAATCAGGTATAGTGACTTTAATTATAAGTTTGCTGTAATTGTTTGATGAAGTTAACTATCCATGGGTTTCAGAATGATGAAAAGTTAGGACCGTAACCATAGCAATTAACAACTCAAAACAAAATATCTTTTGAATGGTCAACCATGCTCAAAATGGTACCATATAACAGGAAGTTGAAGCCCATGAAAAGGGATTTTAACATTCTTCAACGTTGCTGTGGCAACCTCAAGAGTTGAGTGACTGCAAAGCAATTTTGTTTCTTCAAGCATGGCGGATATTTTTGCTTGAGAAAAGGGCTGAGTAAGATTTGGAAGCCAGTCAAAAGGATTTAACAATAAGTTAATAAATACATCCTGTTGCTGAAACTGTTTGACTCAAGAATCAACGTTACTATTGGAAAATTGACTGTTCTTCTGCATCCATGTGACCACCAACAATCTGTTTGAGAGCACAGATGATAGCGGGTATTGAACTGGCTTTCTTCTGGTTAAAGGTCATATATCCAGCCACTACTCTATTCACTACATCTTTTTTTTTTTTTTTTTTAATTCAAGTATTTTTAAAGTACCACTGTGCGTCTTCTAAGCAAAATAATAAATACAAAAATAATAATGAAACTTTAGAAAAACATTCATCCTGAGGGCCAGTTTGCGGGTAAAAATGACAAAGTATTTTACCGGAAGTGCCTTTTGTTTAGGCGATGATGGTGAAATCTGAAACCACCCTCCAGAGTGGAAAAGTTGAGTAGCATTTCTATCTACACTGCCCAAGACGCAAAACTCTGGTCAGATCTGCTCATGTCGCGTATCCAATCGAAGTTCACACACTTTTGCGTCACCGTATGCACACAGATTTACTCCTGAAAACTCTCGTCTAAACGCAGAATAAAAAGTGAAGACGCGACGCCACTTTTGCGTCTTCTGTTCAGACCGTCGTCATATAAACGTAGCCTTACTGTGAGCAAGCTTGTATCTCCACAAACCTGACTCACTTGGTCTAGAGGAGGGCCGCCTGCTTGTCTCCATGGAAATGTTGTTCCTTTGGCTATAGTCTTCTAGCCAGGCTTGATTTCTCTCCAGCGACTAGGTCAGGAATTGGAATACAATAGATGATTCCTAAAAACTTTGGAAGTGCAAGTTTGGGCACCAGCCAGTCAACGAAGAGCCATACATTTTGTGTTGTCAACGATTCCCGAGATCAAGGATTTAAAACCGGAAGAAAGAGAATGTTTGGTGAATTTTAAAAAGGGGAAAGACGTTATTGCCCTTCTTCTTACGGGATTTGGGAAAAGCTTAATATACCAGTTAGCCCCGTTAGCGGCGCATTACATACATCACGACCAAATAGCAGCGATTGGTTAAATAAAAAAAGTACCCACCTACCGTTGGGCAAACAGGCTAATGATCTTCCAAAGTATGGAATAAAATGTATCTTTCTTTTTGTTTTACTTTTTAACTTTGAAAATTCATCTTCACATTCATCTTTACAGCCTATGACATCACTGTAAACTGCAGACTTCCCCAAATCCCATACGCACATGTACCATAATTCACATTTAATGAAACCCTCCTTTACCTGTATAAACATCCTTGTCAGATACTTTGGATGCTGTTAATGGCCCTTCCTTATCTTCTGGAGTGTGGGGAGTGGGGAGGGGATCTACCTGCCAGCGCGCTCTGCTCAGTGTTAACTTTGGCCTGAGAGCTTGGTACCAGGCTGCACCAGGGAGCAGGGAGTCCGCTGGGGTGGATCTCGTCTTGATTCATGATGACGATATTTGGGGGATGGGCCCTTATCACTGCCCCAGGAATGCAACACTAGTTTGGGGTGGAATGAGAGGGCTGCGGTGCTAGTAAGCTGGACTCTAACGTGAAAGTGTAATTTGTTTTATTGGCGAGGGGAGTTATAAATACAATGGCCTATTTATCTGACTGAAAGTGGGTTGTTGTTTTGACAGTTCAATTCCGATAACTTTTCTGGTCTGTCACTTGCTTGTCTCTATGAAAATGTTTCTGCTTTGACTGGAACAATATGGCATTAAATGTATTTTGGATTTTGATAAACATACATTTTTAAACAGGGTCACCTCCCCCCCAGATCTGACCTGTAAACTGACCTTGTAGAGTGACCTGTTTTTCTCTAGAGATAGATATTTTTATTGCTATACTGTGGAACATCATGGAGACAAGTAGGACACCCTCCACCCGAAAAAAAGTTACACAGTGTACCTTTAAAACAGTGACTTTTATGGGGCTTAACTTGGCTTTTGTCACAGCAAAATGTGAAGTGTTAAAACTGACTCTCACAGAATCAATTTTAACATTTTCTAAGGGTTTATATGACTCCAATCTGTTCTAGAGTTAATTTAACAATTTTGGAAATGTTTAATAAGTAACACTGGGCCAAAATTCCTATTGAACCACAAAAACAAGAGTTAAATTAACATTTTGAGAGTAAACGGACAACACTTTGTAGGGTTATCCTCATTTAGCTAAACAACACACAGATCTGTTTTATTTTTACACTTTATTTTAGTTAATTTAAGATGAAATTATTTACAAAACTTGTTCAAACTGGTCTTCTCACGCGGGAGTTTGAAGTGGTGGGTGGGAGAAATAACACTAAGGGAAGTTGATTTAACACTAGCATTAACATTAACTTACCACATTAAATATCCCCATTTAACTCTCAAATAGTTAAAATAACACTTTAAAAACAACTCCCTGAAACCCAGAAATTTGAACCCTCCAGTTTTTGCTGTGTACATAACATGATTTAGAAGACCATCTGGTGCTTTCATGTGGAATTTGCATGTTCTCCCCGTGTCTGGATTGCTTGTCCAGGCTCCCTCATTAACTTAAAACATGCACTTCTGCTTAATCCTCCAGTGAAGTAAATCTCGCTCAAGGTTCTTTCAGTTCCAGGTCGTTGAGGTTGCCCCAGGATAAAATAATTTGCTTCAAGGCAGATGTTGATGAGAATTTAGTATCAATATTATTTAAGTGAATGTCAATGCATTTGCACTTCCACAATGGGCATTTCTAACAAACATAAAAATCTGGGGTGAGTCCCTTGGTACTTTCTTTCGTTGCCCACTGCTCTTGACAGGTCGCCCATTGGTATTGAAAGATGGGTCAAATGCACTAGGAGCCTATAGAGAGCAAATAAAGTAGTTCAATCTCTGCTTCAACCAGTGCAGGAAGTAAAGTTTCCGCAATACAAACCCAAAGACTTCTCAGCTTGTGTAAACCATGTAAACAGAAGAGTAAACATGTTGGAGGGATCTTGATATGAGTGAAGACAGAGGAGGCGCAGAGCTGCAGAGACGCCTGCAGTTTGTCAGTTTGGGATAGGTGAAGGGTGTTAGCAGTCTAAACGGGTGAGTGTGGGTAGGAGGAAGGGGGTATAGGGGGTCTGATTAGGGGGGTGGCTGGTGTCTGTGTAGATAAAGGATGTGATAACGCGAGACAGAGGAACTGACGGCGTGACAGGGAAATGAGGTGTTAGAGAAGACTGAGATTCTAAGGAGCTGTTTAAAAAAAAAAATCATTTAATTATTTTCAATTGATCGTGACATATTAATGATCAAAAGTGCTAATGAAAGCTGTGTTCCTGTGGTTCTCAGGTGCTTGGATTTTGGAGATGAGATGTGGGGGGTTCCAGCTTGTTTGCGTAATTGTTCTCAGAAAGTTGTGATTTTTATGTCACCAAAAATAAAATCTAAATCTACTCTTTGACAGTGTTTTCTAGAGCTGACCAGTAAAGTTAGATCTTGTTAGTCTTCTCAAAAGCTTCACTCACCCCTATGTAACAGATAATACTCCCTACAACTGTACTACATCTCACCCTTATGCAACAGATAATACTCCCTACAACTGTACAACAACCGACCTTTATGTAACAGATAATACTCCCTACAATTGTACAACTCACTTCTATGTAACAAATAAGACTCCCTACAACTGTACAACAACTCACCTTTATGTAATGGATAATACTCCCTACAACTGTACAACTCACCTTCATGTAACAGATAATACTCCCTACAACTGTATATCTACTCACTCTTATGTAACAGACAATACTCCTTACAACTGTACAACAACTCACCTTTATATAACGGATAATACTCCCTACAATTGTACAACTCACTTCTATGTAACAAATAATACTCCCTACAACTGTACAACAACTCACCTTTATATAACGGATAATACTCCTACAACTGTACAACAACTCAACTTATATAACAAATAATACTCCCTACAACTGTACAACAACTCACCTTATGTAACAGGTGATGTCCTGTCAATCACTATATCATTGTTGCACTGTCAAGCTGAGATTTTGTATTTTATTACTTATCTTTCCATTTTGATTTTGATTTTGATTTCTGATTTTTGTCTCCATACAGTCAGTGGTAGTCAGGCAGCAGCTTTTGACCTGAGTTTTCAGTTGTTTTCCCAACTTGTGTGTGCCTTCATGCGCCTTTTTTCACAGGTCTGCTTAATATGATCCTTACTACAATCATACACTTAGCCCTCAAATAACAAAGAAACAAGACAAAATCCATTTAGACTCGACCTTAATGCTTGACTGAAACAGTATTTGACCAAATTAATTAACTTAAAACACTATCCAAAGTTCACCGTCAGAACACCATCAGTTATAAAGACTCAGACAACCATTATTTAATTAAACCTCTGTTAATTCATTTCTTCTCAGACTGTTTGTACAAAAGCCTTTTAACAGCTTTGAGAACGTGACAAAGACGTACAAAGTGAGAGGTAATTTTCATTGACAAGTCTCACATGTGCCTGAGTGGGAGGCTAAGAAGTGGGCCATCTGGAGCCACCTTAAGACCAGAGCAGATAGAACAGGGAGTGGGAGTTTGTGTTTCTAAGCATCTCCAAAGGTCAGAGTTGTCCAAAGTCCATTGATTTAGCCACAAGTAAAGCTGCTCACTACAGGAAGTTCATGTCCAGGGTAAAAGAGAATGACAGTGACAGGTGCTTATAATCTTGCCATTCAGGTGTTTCCTCTTCATTTTGAGGATCATTCAAAAGATATATATTGTTTAATGAGAGAGAGATTTTTTTTATCTGACAAAATATATATGTCTATAATGTCTAAAATTTGTCATCATTTTGTGGATTTGGAAGCTGCCTTAAAACTGTACTTTGTAACTTTTCTGATGGGGGATCCACAGAATTACAGGCATTATTTAGGGGTGTAACGATATCCAAGTCTCACTATACGATATTATCACGGTATGAACCTCACGGTACAATATTTATTGCGATATCGTGGGAATGCTCATGATATGGTGGGGAGGCTCACGATTTGGCTGATGATTTGATAACAATAACTGAATGATTTGATAACAATAACTGAAATATCGTGATATTGTATCGCCAAAGTTGTCACAGTAATATCATGGACCATCACAATACATCGAATCACAAGTCTTTGCTTATATTAAGAGTTATGATGCAGCAACAGCTAAAAAAAAAAGACAGAGAACTACATAGACCATTTCATTTCAATGCAGACTACAAGAAGAAATAACAATTCTAAGCACTTTTAAGTCTTAGTTCTTTGGATTGAGTCTTGTCAAGGCATTTTAAGAGGAAAAAGAAGTGTATTAGTTTTGTTAGCCTCCACAAAATACCACAATAAATATTGTACCTTAAGATGTATATCGTGAAAATATCCCTAATCGTGAGCTTTCCCATGATATTGCAATAAATATCGTACCGTGAGGTCCATACCGTGACGATATCGTATCATGAAATTTGGATATCGTTTACACCCCTACTGGTGACAGTTCTGAAGATGTCTTGCACACAAGAAGTTAATGTACATAAGTTCCCACCTTACTTAAAAGAGTTTCTGATTCCATTTAGACCTGCATATCATTTACGTCACACTGAACAACTACTTTTTAATATTCCTAATATAAAAAAAGAAGAAATTGAGCACAGAGCATTTAACTTCAAAGCCCCAAATGAATGAAACAACTTGCCCTCCTCAGTCTGATCAATTACATTGATCCACCAGTGTAAGGCATCAGTCTTCAGATACTTACAAACATTCTGCTCCTGTTTTCCATGAAAATAAATTTTTGTTTTATGTACTTTCTGTTGTACATAGAGTTGCTATTTTCTTCAACAATTTACAAATATAGGTGTGGGGATGATAAAATCAAAGAGATGTATATGTTAGGATCCGGTATTGTATACTGTGAATGCTGTCTATGTGGTGTATGGACGTTGTTTTGTGTTGTGTTTGTCTTTTGTTTTGTTCTGAAGGGATGCCCTTATTAATAAAATTACCAAATCATTCTGACTACCCAACTCATACACTTCCATGGCCCAAAACAAAACTCACCTTTGTATCTTTTCTTCTTCTAGGCTTCTTATGCACAACAGCCGCAGCAGACAAGTGCCTCGTCTCCCCCTGCCTCAACGGTGCCACCTGCATGGAAAACCAGGGCGCGTACGTGTGCCTCTGTCCCAGGACCCCTCTCAGGTTCATGGGCGTACATTGCGAAGACCTATACGACCCGTGTTTGGACACTCCATGCGCCAACTGTACCTTTATACCCGGGACAGACAACTATACGTGCCACTGTCCGGCAGGCTTCACCGGTCAAAACTGCATGGAGGACATCGACGAGTGCTTGGAAAACCCTTGCGTGGGACTTAAAAGCTTCTGTGTCGATAAAATTAACGGATATACGTGCCATTGTCCGACTGGGTTAGGTGGAACAGACTGCACAAACAATATAACAACTTGTTCGGACCAAGAATGCCAAAATGAAGGCGTGTGTGTGTATGTACCAGATATCGGACGGAGGTGCAACTGTCCTGCAGGATTTGAAGGGGAAAACTGTGAAGTCGATATTAACGAATGCATGTCGGGACCTTGCAAGAACGGAGCCATATGTAAAGATTTGGTGAACGGGTATCAGTGCTTCTGCGTGCCGGGTTTTCAGGGATCTCACTGCGATTTGGATATAAACGAATGTGCGTCCAAACCGTGTCAGAACAACGGGACGTGTTTGGATCTGGTGGATCATTATAAGTGTGACTGCGCGCCGGGGTTCACAGGTAAGCGGAGTTTGAATTGTATTAGCTTAAAGGTGCATGATGTAACTTTTTGGTTGGAGGACTGTCTGCTTGCTGCCTGTTTCTATGGATATGTCATTGCTCTGCTCTTCTTTTTGCTCTTCTACATTATAACATTAAACAGCTCTACCTTACATTTATTCAATTACAGGTGGTTTTGTAGTTCAAAAATACCTAGAAAAACTGAGTAGGGTCACCTCTTAGAATACTTACAGTTTGTGGCGTTGTTTTAATATTTAGGCCAGGGGTATTTATATGAAGGATTTCTATTTAAATAAGTAGATGATGTATTTACATTTGCTGCCAAATTTTCAACAGCTGATAAGCTCGAGATCAAACAGCGCACATGCAGAGTTCTGTAGTGTTGTAGTGCAGTTAAGGACAGCAAAATGGTGAGTGTTAAAGTACGAAAAGTTGACAGAGTGCAGAGTTTTCAAAGAAGAGCGGCCGACCGATTATTCTTTTGTTCAGTGTAAGGAGCGTGCAGTTTGTCTGATATGTAGTATTAGACACAAGCATCATCATACTATACATAAGAAGATATATATGGATATATACAAATGGGTGATATACACAGAAACATGTCTACCTGAAAATGGCTCCAAACACATTTCTTTCTTTTTTTTTTTATTTATAATTTTGTCATCTTGAGGGAGTGGATATCTGGCACATTAATAACAAAATAGACAATAGACAAAATATAAGACATATACACACATACAAAAAAGAACAAAAAACAATAAGTAAATAAAAAGAAGAGCAGAAGGAAGAAGAAAAGGAGGGGCGTGGGTGGGGGCTGGTTGTGTGTAGTACAGAGTTTCTAAATGCAGTGTTTGCATGTGTGTATTTACATTTTAGGTCTGTCCAATCAAATTTGCTTTTACATATTCTCTGTTCCCTTATGCCTTTAGTTTTTTATTTATTTTTTTCACAACCCCAAACCACATTTACACATACAGTACATTAGCATATACACACACATACATTGTGTATGACATTGTCCAACAGTATATTATTCTATTTTACTGTGCTTTGTCCAAATGCTTTTTTTCTCTTTTTTTTTCTCTGACCCTTTCTGCCCCTCTCTGCCCTTTTCTGCCCCTCTCTACCCCTCTCTGCCCCTCTCTGCCCCTCTCTGCCCCTGCGACCCTCAGGACTGAACTGTGAGGTGGAGATAGACGAGTGTGAGACCGCCCCCTGTCAGAACGGTGGCACCTGTCTGGACCTGGTGGCCATGTACGTGTGCCAGTGCGTGCCCGGCTTCGAGGGCACGGACTGCGAGGTCAACATCGACGAGTGCAACAGCGCCCCCTGCCTCAACCACGGCACGTGCTTAGACCGGGTCAACAGGTAAGAGAGAGTGCTGATTAGGTTTAAGACTAAATATGACACACTTTACTTAGTTTAGGTCTGAGCTAATGAGAAACCATCAGTTATTTTTTATTTATTTTGGATTTAAAGGTGCACTACATAAATGTTCACAGATCGTAGAAGATGTGGCAGACTGTTGCGTGCTACAGTATTGTTGAAGTTGGTGATATCAGCTGAAAGGAGCAGAAAGCAGGAAGTAACAATAAAATAATGCTATGGATTTTATTAGAACAGCACAAATGAAAATATGGCAAGATTGTTGAGCAGTTTGTACTGTGTGTCAGAGATTGAGGGTATGTTTACATTATGGCTTCGTTAAGAGATGCTTTTGCAGTATCAGTACCTCTTTATAAACAGCATTACTCGGAAATTGACGCCTACACGCCGGTTTTCTGCTGATATCTTTGCCATTCTTTGCCCTAACAACATGAAACTTGGCACTGCACACACCCGTACTATTAGGATGACACCCTCCAAATTGGAGATCAGTTGGATGAGTGGTTCGAGAGTTATGCGTGGAAAGGACAAACCAACACGAGGAGACACAGACAGAACGGTTCTTGCGTTAATAGATAGATATCTCCGTGAAGATAAGCAGGTGACGCCACCAGGTTAGATCTGTGGTGAATCACACAAGAATTCATGTTTTTTTAGGTATATTTGAGCAGAAAAAAAATTTAAATCAGTGGTAGAAAGTGGTACAATAACATCTGCAAGGAGAAGAGCAGATGGCAGACCTTTAATCAGAAAAGTTACAAGTTACAAAAAGTGCACCTTTAATTACACCAAAGCTTTAAAAATGGCTAAGAATTGTATTTATTTTTGTTCTCTCAGTTCCCAGTCCTTCTCAGTGGAGGTAAATGATTTATATTTTCAATTTGGCAAGATGGGTGAAGTGTTTTGCTCACATACGCAGTGGTCTTAAATGTGTCATACTTCATACTTTAACTACACTGATGTGACCAGTTTGATTCCTGCAATAACCTGTACTTTTTAAATTAACCACAACTAACACTTTTACTTTGGGCACTGTTTACACTAGAGTTTCTAAGCCCCATGTGCCGTGGTGCCATGCGCTTGGCCACTTGATAAGGATTAATCTGCTTATGTGAGTCAATCATGGATGTGGAGGCAGACACAATACCCGGTCAGCGCACTGGAGGGGAATGAACAACAGAAGATAAATACATAAATGTCAAGTACAATAAAAGTTGTGGAATAGAAATGTGGAATATTAAACTATTAAAGGCCCTTGTGAGCTTTAAGCCATGTTATAATGCTGTTACCTCCTCAAAAACATCTGGAGTTTTGTTTTGTTTCATTCACACATGTTTGAGTAATCCTTTAGTATTAATCTGTCTACATCTCCAAAGCTCAAAATGGTCTGTTCCACCTTGTGATGTCATGAGTTTTCAAGTTAACAGTCACCTTTTTACCTTTTGTTTAGTAGAGATTGGCAAATCCAGGGCTGAAATCATCCAGTTTTAAAACACACTGGAGCACTTCCTGTATTACTACATGACATCACAAGGTGGAACTGCTTCAGGACTGGTAGATCTCAGCTGGTAGATCATTTGTCCACTGATCCAAAGGTTGGCAGTTTGAATCCCACTCTAGACATAAACATCATTGGTTGAGCGGTCAAATCCACTGTCCGCTCAACCAATGTGATTCCAGCTTCCACAGATGAATGCTGTTGCTGTGTCCTCGGGCAATACACTTGACCTACCTCGCCCCCAGTGTCTGCGTACACTGGTGTGTGAAGGGGTGAGTGGTTTCTTGGTGTAAAGTGCTTTGAGTGCCTTGAAGGTGGAAAAGCGCTGTGCGAAAATGTACTGTTTTAGAGAAGAACTCGCTCTAAATATGCGCTGTTTGTGTGTTAATCATGTGTAAATGAAACAAAACACAACTCCAGGTATATTTTTAATGAGGAAACATTAAGACATTATAACATACAGTAGATCAGAAAATAGCGTAATGGAGCCCTCCAAATTTTAGTGCTGATTCATTGTAAAATAGGGTGACCAAACGTCCGTTTTTCCCTGGACATGTCAGTTTTTTGCGTCCTGTACTTGGTGTCCGGGGTTTTTTTTTATTAAGGGATTCAAATTTCTGGGTTTTCATGATCTTTGTTTGGGCCATTAAATTGAGCAACTCTCGTAGCTCTCTGTGCATCAGAAGGAGCGAGCAGACACAAACAGTCGGTCAGCCTGCAACATGCCGAAGCGCAAAATGTGCATTTAATGATGACTTGGACATGAAATTCCCCATTTTCCCTCCCGGTCGAGACAGGTGGGAGGCCAAGTGCACAGTTTGCGAGGTGAGTGTAGCTCAATGTCGAGGCCCCACCCCCGGTAAGGTGTCCGGGTTCTCACAAACGGAAATATGGTCATCCTATTGTAAAAGCAGCTCTTATGGTCAAAATGAAACTGCTGTGTGCTGTCTACATTTAATTATAAAGAGTTTTATCCTCAGGAAGTGCACTATTGGCCTCTGACAGTTGTGAAAAGCGCTTATAAACTCATCGCGGTGAATAACAGGATGCGAGGAATGTGTTAGGAAAGCAAGGAGTAACTTTAATCAATTCCCAATACGTATTTAAAGGCAACATTTTACTACATTTATTTTTTGTTTCCATTATTTCAAGTAAAAATAAAAAGTTTTAGCATAGGTCCTCAAAACATTTTCAGTACAGTATAATATAACTTTTGAACAATTTCCCTGTTCTTGGCAACACAAAACACATGGACTTACATACCACAAAGACCTAGGTCCAGTGAATAAGCCTGGATTTGATTTCCGGTTCAGACTCTTCTAAACCCGACTTATGAAAGCTTTAATCTCACATGCCCGTGGGGTTGTGTGCTGTCTTGTTTTGCAGTTATGAGTGCGACTGTGATGGGACGGGCTTCGTGGGGGTACACTGCGAGGAGGACATACCTGAGTGTGCTTCGGACCCCTGCCAGAACGGAGCCAAGTGTGTGGAGGGGGTCAATGAGTACCACTGTCAATGCTGGACAGGTACAGTACAGATAAAACGGCTGTTGTGCGAAGAGGAGACTACAGGCTTTTCAAATGGTGTAGCTTTAAGTCTGTGCAGTTCAATTTGTATATAAATTATGAAGAAATTAAATAGTATACTTGCATAGTTGTATTATATCATCTAAACTGTAATTGCTACAAACATCACTGTTGTCACACATATCACCTTTTACAAAGTCTGCTAACATAATCTGAACTTGTATTTGTTGTTTTATTTCTCTTATACTCTGATTTATATATTCTATTTTAGCTATGAATGAATGCAATCAGAATCTTAATATTGGTACATGTATATCTCATCTATTCAATGTTACTGCTGCAAATTAAAATAGGCCTATCTAACTTAAACATGTATGTAGTGGACCAAACAGAAAGGCAAAGACAAGGTATAAAAATCAGTTTAAATTTAATAAAGTCAAAATGATATCATTTAACAAAGGCTCAAATTAGGCAAATTATTAAAAAAAAAAAAAAAAAAAATGGCACAACTGGGGTAACTTAAATCAAACTGAACAGAACAAAACTAACCCAACAGACAAAGGAACAGGGGTGTTTGAATACTTGGGGACCATAATTAACTAATAATTAACTAAACTACTACCTTAATCAAAGTAACATGAAGACAAATAATTATAATACAGAAAATAATATGTGATAATAAAGTGACCTTAAAGCAAACTAAACAAACTAACTTAATAAAACTAACTAAATAGTGCTCTTTCCCCCCCTTGTTGAGTCACGATGGTCTCTCCCAAGGGTCCTCCACCCAATGCTCAAAAAACAAAAAGAACACGTTTAAGTAAATCAGACTTATATAAACTAAAATGTGAGCACTCAAATCAGAATATAAGTCTAAATAAAGGATTTAAATTATGTGTGAGGTAATTGACTTAATGTAAATTCAATTAAATAATACTGACACTATGGAGTGGTGGCAGAGGTATCCACCACAATGCACCAAGTAGAACTTACTCTGACCTGTTCAGTTTTTTTTTTGGACATTGTATAGCTCCTCTAAAAGTCAGTTAAGTATTTTGGATCTTTAAATTCAAGCCAAAATTAGCATATTAGCAGCATGTCTAAAATAGGAACTCTTTCAAAATAAGGGTTCCTTTTTTAACAATATGTGTATTTGTCATTATGTGAACACAAGATAATTCACAATATGAAGGGAGTCATCACATTTACAGGCAAATCTAACAGGACCCTCACAAATATGAAAACATATGTAATCATAGCATTATACATATAAACTTCCTTTTTTTTTTTCAACAAAACAGGTTGCTTGTTTATGGCTTGAAATGTTTAAAGGCAAACACAAACTCTTACAAAGTTACATAGTGTGCGTGTTGTAGTGCATTGAAAGTTCATCAGGACTTTAACCAACTGTTTAACAAAATATCAGAATTAGGGCTGGGCGATATGGAGCAAAAACATATATCTTGATATATGTTGCTTTATCTCGATTTATGATATACATCTCGATATCTGTATAGGAAAAATAATGCAATCTGCAAAAAAACAAATATGCCAAATTCCACAAGGTCTTTTTTTTATTGAAGTGCAAGGAGGCAGTTCATGTAGGAACAAAGTGCTTCTGCAACATAAAAAAAAAAATCCCTGTATTCAAAAATTATAATTTAACTGTAAAATAAAAGAAGAAATAATACATATTTCCTTCTTCTCATTCAAAAATAAAACAACTCAACTCAAGCTCATCTTTGCATTAACTCTGTTATCCATACGATAACCAGAACCATTAGCTCCCAGAGGAAGCTCGGGAGGTCCTTTTTTTTTTTATCAATATGTGTATTTGTCATTATGTGAAGTGTACAAGATAATTCACAATATGAAGGGAGTCATCACATTTACAGGCAAATATAAAAGGAATCTCACAACTCTGAAAACATTATAATTATAATTATACATAATTATACATATAAACTTCAGGTTGCTTGTTTATAGCTTGAAATGTTTAGAGGAACACAAACTCTCCCACTGAAAAAATGCTTTAAAGCTAATGTATAAAAAGTAATTCTGTTTACCTACAGTGGAAAGCTCTATTCATGGGTTTCAGCTTTCTATATATTGTGACATTTTGAAGACTTTTACCCCCAGATATAATATATGTTTAAAATAGTTAGTTACTATGGCAACTGTCTTCATTTTTGTCTTTCTGCAACCATGGATAGGCTTAGTTGCTTAGAGTAATAAAGATGTGACAGATATTTCCAACATTTGGCAAGCTGTACAACGCTGTATTTCTATTCCTTTTCTTATTACAAGTCCTATCTTTAAAATACTCCACCGCTTCTAAGTGTGGAGTTTACACTTGGAATAGAGAAACAGTCAGCACATATATCAGTGGCCTTTGACTCGAGGCTGACCCCTGGAGGCCAGAGGTTTCCCACACATAAATTCTCCTCAACAAAAGAGCAGTTAGTTTGACCTTTGAGCGGCTACAGAGAATACCCGCTCCCTGCTCTTTCTACTATTTAAGTTACATCTTTATAACCCAGCAGCACCGCGCAGTCAGAGGGCCAGTTAAATTATACATGGGATGCATAAGCACACTGCCGCAGGGGAAGGTGCAGAGTTGCAGAATTCTTGTTTTTTGTGCATTTAAAATAAGACGTTAGCTCAACAATATTTCCCCAAAGACTGCAAGTTGCCAAAAGCTTGATTTGTGATTTAACAGCGTGTCTTCGTTCAATACAGTTCTTGCTCTTCTGTGTAATAAAAAGAAAAACAAAAAACAATCTCCTCTGCACCCAGATAAATGTGTGAAAGTTTGCAGGCAAAATTGGCTAAAATGTTAAATCTTGTGTTATTAATTGATTGACTGAAATTCTGACTGAAATAATGTGAGGTTAAACAAATGAAGTGGAATGTGTTAGGGAGGGCATCTGACGTAAATCTGTGTCAAATAACCCAGTACAGATGTTCACAGGCCATCTGGAAGCTAATTTGTTTCAATTTAAAGGTAATAAAAATGTCACATTTCAAGTTAGGGATATATGCCAACTGCTTGTCTCCGTGGAATTACGTTGCTGTGTCTGAAATGTTCCACAGTAAAGCATTAAACTAATCCATGCTGTAAGTATTTTTATTGCGCAAAAAAACAGACAAAAAACTTACTGTGAGTGGGGTCGTCTCTCCACAGATCTGATATGTAACCTGGTGTAAAATTCTAGGCAAAGCAAAATCAATGGAGACAAGTGTTTCCATGGAGTGTCTGCAAGAAATATTACACAGTGCATGTTTAATCATTTCTGTTGTACCATGTTAGAGATAATTAAAATGAGATAAAGTTACATAGTGTGCGTGTTGTAGTGCATTGCCTGTTCATCAGATCTTCAACCATCTGTTTAACAAACTATCAGAATTAGGGCTGGGCGATATGGAGCAAAATATATATATATCTTGATATATTTTGCTTTATCTCGATTTACAAGTATTGAGATATTAACAAATATTCCAAATTCCACAAGGTCTTTTTTTACTGAAGTGCAAAGAGGCAGTTCATGTAGGAACAAAGTGCTTCTGCAACATAAAAAAAAAAAAAATCCCTGTATTCAAAAATAATAATTTAACTGTAACATAAAAGAAGAAATAATACAAATTTCCTTCTTTTCATTCAAAAATAAAACAACTCAACTCAAGCTCATCTTTGCAGCAACTCTACTATCCATACCATAACCAGAACCGTGAGCTCCTTTAGTAGAGGAAGCTCAGGAGGTTCCTTATTTGAATAGATCCATGTTCTTCACCAACGTAAGGAGCTATGAGACATCCCACAATCCACTGCGCAGATCAAACCCAACATTTCCAAACACTATTGTACAAGTTACACTGCAGCAAATTATTATTTAAAATATCTTGAATAAATAAACTTTACATTACTACATCATATAAACCATAACCACTATAGAACCACATCGGCTCGTTTGAGATTATAATGTGTTTAATGCAGTTACGAAAATCACATGGCTCATTTGCATAAACTGTGAGTGGTGTCAGAGTAAAAGTCACAACTCAGTGGAATATGTGTGTTCTCTCTGTGACAGAGGATATGCTGCTGATTGTCTTGTCTGTACATGGTGGAAAAGGTTCATAGTGCTAGAAGCTTTCTTTGGCACCAACTTTCAGGATTCACGGCAATAGGAAACTCTCTGCTGTTCATAAAAAAAGGCGGGGGAGCATGGGGGCAAGCACAGACAAGTCAAATAAATGAAGTGGCGAAATCAGAATTAAAGATAAACATTATATCGATATATACAATATGTCAGAATCCTTATCGAGTTTTAAAAATATCTTGATATATTTTAAATATTGAGATATCGCCCACCCCTAATCAGAATATTGTTTTGTTTTTATGACGCAGGTTATGAAGGAGATAACTGTGAGGTGGACATTGACGAGTGTCTGTGGGAGCCCTGTGAAAACGGAGGAGAGTGTTTCCAGCGCTCAGATGTCCAACAGTACGGACATCTCCCTGAACTCAGCACGGTCACCTTCAGCTACGACCAGGCTGCGGGCTTCATCTGCCGCTGCCAACCTGGATTCACTGGTAACATACAATAACTGAGATATTCTTTAATTGATTTTTCATCTTATCCAGTATTTCCAGTATATTTGACTTGCTGTTGGTCCAATTACTGATATTTGTTGATATTAACACTTCATAATCTAACTCAAATTCGCTAATGCATTCTAATTATTCTAACTCTTCCTCATCTGTTAAGTGTTTATGGGTTTTTTGCAGCATCACACAAACTTCAAAATTAATGTTATACTTTTGTACATCCTTCCATTTAGCTTCATGTCCTTCTGTTTCCTTTGTAACTCAATAGTCAATTTAAAAAGACATATCTGATCACTGAAGACACACTGGGGCTGTTTTAATCAAGGATTTTTTACTTTTTTTTAATATATATTGGATTGCTGGGATATTAAACAGCAATAATAATAGCACTCATATATTGTGCATCTCAAGTTTAATGATGTTTTGTGTAATGTAAAATGTGTTTTTGTAGGAGAGAATTGCTCTGTAAATGTGGATGAGTGCGAGTCTGGCCCATGTTTGAATGGAGGAAGCTGTGAAGACAAGATCAACTCGTACCACTGTGTCTGTCCAGGAGGATTCACAGGTTTGTTCAATTCTTTCAACAATAATATGTCTGCATGGTCTTATATAATGCCATTTTTTAAAGCTAAATTACATTACTTATACAGTCTGTGGTTTAGCTACACTATACATCACATTCAAGCATTCAAACTTAATGTCTTGCCCATGAACACAACAAAAGTATGCACCGGTTGGAGCTGAGATCAAATACATAGAACACTCAGATGGCCAGTGTCCAAAAGCTTTTTTATTTCTAAATAACGTTTCGTCAAAAAGCCTTTGTCAGATAATTTGTTCTAATTTGTTCTTTCACCAAAGCAAGGTGTTGCTCCTTGCATTTGCACCTCTTGAAGAACTTTGGTGTTTTTTTTTTTTTGTTTCATTTGAGAGAGTTGGGATCATATTACCTGGAGTTGGATTATATTATCTGGAGTTACATCAAATAACAATCATGATAGTATAAAAATATATAATGTCAAATCAGTGCTGACAAGGTATTAAAAATAATACTGTCTGGACTATAGCATTTTAGTATATAACTTACTGGTATCAGGATCGGATCAATATTGCATTATTATAAAAACAAAAATCACTAGTATTGTCCATCATTAACTCAGTATTTAGGGATGTAACAATAACTGAAATATTGTGATATCGTATTGTCAAAAGTCAGGCCAACACTGTGTCAAATTACAAGTCTCTTTACTTAAATTCATTTTTATGGTGCAGCAATAGCGAAAAGAAACTGAGGGAACCACATAGACCATGATCCTTTGCTCTATTTCAGTACAATTTATATGATGAAATAACTTATTAAGCACTTTTAAATCTTAACTCTGGTTTACGACAGGACCAAAGGCTTGTCAAGACATTTTAAATGTTTATTTATTAAAGGGAAAAGTTGCATATTCAGAATCGCAATAAATATCGTACCGTGAAATGCATATCATGAAACTATCGTACCGAGAAATTTGGAAATTGTTACATTGCTTCATCTAATCCTTCTGATAATTCCATATAAAAAACAAATATATTAATCCCATATAATCTGAGACTGGTCAAGGCACCTGCTCAAGATCCTTCACGGAGTTTCACAATAGTACGCAAAGTAGTAAGTGAAGCAGTATTCCTGGGTCTTTCGCTCAATGACAGTTGGGGATAATTTGCTAACCGTATTACAGGGCTGTGTCAGAAAGGCCATGACAGAGTATAGTGAAAGGTAATCTGTTGGAGCCTCTCTGAAGTACTGAAGTGTATACTTTATGACTGTTATAAAGTAAATGTTATGAAGTACACTACCTCAACTGTGATGGGATGGATTTCTCACTTAAAGGGCTCATATTATGCCATTTTCTGATCTGTTACAATGTTGTTTCCTCATCAAAAACATACCTGGAGTTGTGTTGTGTTTCATTCATAAGTTTAACATGCATATTTAGGCTGTGCTCTTCTCTCAGACTGAAAACACTCTGTTCCTCCTTGTGATGCCATGTGGTAATACAGAAGTACTGTAGTTTAACCACTGTGTTGTTGTTAGATGGACTAATAATAAAGGGTTGCTCAAACATTTATGAATGAAACACAACAAAACACAACTCCAGGTATGTTTTTGTGAAGGAAATTACATTCTAACATATTTTAAAGCTCACAAGAGTCAATTTTGTGTAATATAGGACCTTTAACTAGGCCAGTGTTTCTTAAATTGTGGTATTGCACCATCTGGATTTTGTTTCTTTAAAGCCTCTCTGTTTGTGGCTATCAAAAATGGGCTTTCAATAAAACTAAGAGAGCTAAAAAAAAACAAGACAACAGAGAATCAGAACCCAGGAGAAAGGGTGTAACTATTCCTTACCTGGCTGGTGTTTTTGAAAAACTACAGAGGATTCAGACAACATGAGATTCTGGTCTATTGCAAACCCAGAAACACTTTAAGACAGAAACTGGTCCAAGCTAAGGACAAAACGCCGAGCCACAAACAAAGCAATTTAGTCATTTTTACAAGACTGAAGTGAGCGCTACAGGAGAAACAAAACAGCCACTTCACAAGAGGATGTACCAACACAGACGAGTGAGCAATAGTGGTCCCCAGTCTGCTGTACATCTCTAGGACTAATAGGACTAATAAGGACTAATAAATATTGTGATATCGTATCATCAGAAGTCTCACAATAATATCGTGGGCTGTCACAATATATTGAATCACAGGTTCCTTTGCTTAAATGCATTGTTTTTTAGTAACAACAGTTTGTGAACATCAGAAACTCCTTATCCCATGATTCATTTCAGTGCAGACAACATGAAGAAATATGTTTTTACTTGAATTCTTGGGATTATGATGGAAATAATTCACACTAAAGTCTTGTCAAGGTATTTCAAACCTACAAATGCTTTAAGAAAGAAACTGGTCCAAACTAAGGACAAAACACAAGCCACAAACAAACCAATGTTGTCTACTCCATTTAGTCATTTTTACAAGTGAGCGCTACATTGGAGAAACAAAAGAGCCACTTCACAATAGGATGTACCAACACAGACGAGAGAGCAATAGCGGTCCCCAGTCTGCTGTACATCTCCATCTAAAAGCCACGGGCCTCTCGTTTGAGGATAGTGAGGTACAGATCTTAGCCAGAGAGAAGAATTGTTTTGAGAGGGAGCTATTTTTGATTTTGAAATAATTCTCCCTTAAACAGAAATGGTATAGTTAATCATAATTAGTCTGTAGTTTGCTTACAAAAATGCAAGGAAATGTATTCGTATAAAAATATGTTTAACTCCTTGTTCATAATTTTCAAGAACATAGTATCAGTATCATTAGTACTGCAGTTAAAGGACTAATAAACTCCTCAATGGTACATATTAACATAAAGTAGCTGCATTTGAATAGAATGGATCTGAAAGTGAATGCTAATTTGCTAACAGCCTTAAGGGACCATACTGTACTGGGAGCACTCGGAGGGGATAAGGGGGGCATATGGCACAGACCAACATAGAAAGAAGAAAACAACAAAGCCAATAACAGGTGCCATATGTCAGCGCCATCTTGGGCATTAGAGGGGTCTCCTAAGAAATTTGTCAGGGGGCAGGGGGATTATGGGAAAGCTGCTTATAGGAGCCTAATTAACTGCAATGAAAGATACAAACAAAGAAAAAGCTACTTCTTTAATGAGGAAAATATAGGTCAACTTTTAGAGAGAATCATTTTGAACAATTGTGGAAAATATTTTTATACTTCTAATGGAAATAACAAACACACTTGGTCATATTTAATTATGAATACAAATTAATTATTATCTAATAAAACACTAAGAATAAGAAGAATAAGTATACTATAAGGGCTGTATTAGGTTTACTTTTGTCAGATACACAACATTTACATTTTAAAATGTTTTTTACTCATTGAATTTAATGAATATTTGTTAACACTTTATAATAAGTACACTTTTGACCTACCTTAACCTCCTTATCAAGTAAATACTAGACTTGAATCATTCTTAATAAATAATGTGGTAGTTGTAAATCTTTTTTCATACTTTATTAAGGGTAATTAAGGTGTAGATATTATAACATGATACCAAATATTGTATTATTAGGATACTCCTGCTAAAATGTACAAATTCATATCTGATACTACTTCAATAATGAAACTGTAAATCCACTCTGTTCCTTGCATTAGGTGTTGACAGCAATGTATTTTCAGCCACACACTTATAAGTAAGTATTAACCTATGACAAAGACCTGTGAAAAGACAGATATGTATAGAACACAGTGGGATTACAGTTGAGCTAAAATAAGACCTCATTATGGTGAAAACATCACATGGCTAATAGTTCACTGTGTTAAGAGTGTTAAGTAATGATGTTTGCTGACACAACTCTGTCACCTTTGTCATAGCTTACCTCTGTATACTGCACACTGATCTTGAAAACAAAGCAAGAAAATAGGAGGTTTACATAGTCATTTTATAGAAATTAGGGATGTAACAATAACGAAAATATTGTGATATTGTATTGTCGTATCGTATCGTGGGATGTCACAATATATTGAATCGCATCCTTTGATTAAATGCATGGTTTTATAGTAGCAACAGCTTATAAACATATGGAACTACATATCCCATGATTCATTTCAGTGCAGACAACATGAAGAAATATGTTTTTTACTTGAATTCTTGAGATTATCACGGAAATAATTCACACCAAAATCTTATCAAGGTATTTTTAAGTAAAAAAGTGTCCCATCTACAATTTTATCAGCCTCTTCAAAATATCTAATAAAAATAAATAATAAATAATATAAAATATAATATAAAATAAATAATAAATAAAATAAATAATAACTAAATATGCAGTAGGAACTTGGATGTACTTGTATAGTGCAGTAAAAATACTTAAAGTGTAGTGTGTGTAATGCACGAAATCATTATATCATGTAATATTCTTTTTGATTCAGAGTATTACAACTACTGTGTATACTTGTAGGTTTAGTTGGACACTTTGGAGCTGAAATATTTTTAAATATATATAAAAAAATAATGCCCTTGTAGAACCATACCTAAAGCTAATGTTATTGTCAGAGGGCAACCATATAGGAACCAAGAGGTAAAGATAAACTTCATTGTGCTTATGTGTATAAATATGCTTTTGTTTAATATTAACGGACAGTGAAAGCTCTTGTATAGTTTAGGCCCAGGTCGGTTGCATGGTTATTTTGGTGGTTCCAGCCCCAAAAGTTTGTGAACACTGGGATCATTATGCTAAAACAAACTTTTGGCCTTGTGATGTCATGAGGAGGTCCCCCTACACCTTAATCTAACAATTTTAAGGATTCGATCAAGTATTTTTCATAACAAAGCATGTCTTACTGATAGCAGCTCATGCTTTTAGACTTACTTAAACTGCTTAAGTCCATGATCCCTCTGCTGGTAACTATCAAAGCGCACATAAACAAGAAGTGAATTACAAACATATTACATTTACAAGTTAAAATTAATATTGGAGATTTAATTATCAAGACAAAATACACGTTTTAAGGTGCACTGTGTAACTTTTCTGGTGGAGGGTGTGTCAAATGCTTTTGTCCATGGAGATGTTATTGATTTATCTGGAATGTTTCACACACGTTTCCTCACGGAGATAAAGTCTGGTCCAAGTTACGGTCAGATCTGTGGAGTGGTGACCCCGCTCACAGTCAGAATGTCTGTTTTTCTATGTATTTTTGAGCTGTACAACCACCTGTAATTGAACAAATGTAAGGTAGAGCTGTTTAATGTCATACAGTGGGACATTCCAGACAGAGCAATGACACATACATAGAAACAATCAGGTGAAAGACCCTCCACTAGAAAAGTTACGCATTGCACCTTTAAGTATTAACATATTAATCCAAACTAGAGGCGTTAATTACTGCCATGGCTTTTCAACCTAAACCTCTAGCGCCTCCTGCTGTCCCTCTCTCTCCTCCACAGTATCAGATGGGTGAGGAGGGAGGGAGGGGTGGGGGCTGGTAGAACCCACTGCAGTGCATTCCTCCATCGGACAGTGACTTTGGCCAGCTGGCTCCTCTCGGCTTATTTCTCCTTGCGCTCGTGATGGGCAGGGCTTGTGGAGACCGGAGCGAGGGAGGGAAAATGAAAAGGTGGGCAGGAGCGTGCGATCACTCCCAGGACGGTGCGGAGGAGTACACATGCACAACTGCTTCGTAAGCCCAAAAGGGGTTTATCTTAGAAATTGTTATTTTGGTCGATTTTAATCATTGAATCATGTTGGGAGGAAAGTGGATGCTACTGCTTTGCTGGTGTCATAGTGCGATCTGGATGGCAGGTACAGTCTATTTAGCATTTTATAAGCTTAAACTTTAAAGCATCTAAAGGGTTGTGTCTAATTGTTGGCATGGATAGCCTGAATAGACTTTGGTAATGCAAGTTGGCTGCTGTTCGTAGGAATTAGGACGCACCGTGACTTGCTGTTGTTGATTCCTTGTAATGTTTGTGGTGTAGTTTCATTCACAAATCCTGCTTTATATTCATTGTCTGATTGCTAAACTAATATGGTTTTATTATATTACATTGGGATCCAAATTGTATTCACCTCTGTGTAATGACAGGCCATTTCCTTGTGTGTCCCATCTGCAAATGACAATAGGAAACAGCTGATCAGTGTTAAAGCAATACTGGATTCATTTATTACATTTAGTTTACATTTCTGTTCCCTTGGTAGTAATTTGATCTTGGTACATCTGGTTAATGTTAAACTAGCCCACTAAAGATTATTATTATGACCCAGATAATTATATAATTCCAAAATAAAAATAAAAATAACCTTTTCTATATATTTTTTTTTCATGTTAACATTTAAGACCTACATTTTACCGTTACCATAGCAATTAGCAATTCAAAACTAATTATTTTGTATTTTGAATGGGCAAAAGTCCTCAAACTGTCACCTATAAACAGGAAACTGAAATGCAAGAACACTTACTTGATTTAGTTAAGTCAACTACTATTTATCATAGTAGAAGTATTGTTTTATAGTACCCAGAAAATAATGACAAACTTTTGAAGTTGTTGAAGTAGTAGTGATTCAAAAGTAGTTGCAAGTAGCATAAAAACTATAAGCAGTAGCATTTGTAGTAGCGGAAGTATTGTTTTATAGCAGCCCCATAATACTAGAAAACACTGACATTTGAAGTAGTAGAGGTTGTGACGTAGTAGCCAAGCAATAAGCTTGTGATGTTAGATGTGAAACAACCAGCCAACAACCAAGCTAACTTTTTTAAACTTAATTTTCAAACATGACAGATTATGAGTTGCTGTTCTAAAAGCCATTATACTCATTTAAATCCTATGTACCTATGTCACGATAATTATTACTATATTAACTTCAATACATAAAAGATGGAACAATATATCGATATGATTTTGAGTAGTAATTTGAAATTGAAGATTATGATTATTATTATAGTTTATAGATATTATTAGATATTATTGGGCATAGGTTTTGATGATTTTGGATGTTGTAATTCCGATATAAAGTTAAACTACATTTAAAAAAAATGTTTTTCAGGGCAACATTTAAGATTAAATGTAAGGTTAAGATCCACAATATTTGTTTTGGTTTTGGATCATCCTAAATAAAATTAAAGGTAAAATATTGGGTTTGAGAGTGATTAAAATTGGTCACTGTTTTCATAGCAATTAATTCAGAATAAAATGTCATTCGAATGTGCAAAGTAGTAGTAGTAGTAGTAGTAGTAGTAGTAGTATAGATTGTATAGTAGTTGCAAATAACATTTAAAGGATATTCAATAGCATTTGTAGTAGTAGAAGTATTGCTTTATTGTAGCCGTGGAAAGTTGCCCACACAGTAGGACCCTATAAGTAACACATATCATAAGTCTGTGATGATGGAGCTTAACTAACCAGTTAACAAGCAAACTTGCATATTTATTTTGCCAAAAAGACAAACAAAAAGACGAAGTTGCTGTTCTGAAAACATCATATTAATTTAAATACTACTAACTCTGAAACTACTGTATTTCTAACCCAACTTTCCTGTCTTACCCGTCTTCTCCACAGGCGTGCACTGCGAGGTGGACATCAACGAGTGCGACAGCGCCCCCTGCCAGAACGACGCCACTTGCGAAGACGGCGTCAACTCCTACACGTGCCATTGCCCCCCTCCCTCCGCCCCGGGACAGGACCCTTGGGGCGGTCTGGACTGCGAACGTGCGACTGATCGGCTGCCATTTTCATCTGTGCCAAAACCACGCCTCCTGTTCCCCCGTGTTGACCAACGACGGAGCCCACACCTACACCTGCCTCTGCCCGCCCGGATGGAGCGGAAAACTATGCAACACCTCCACCACCTTCTCATTCAACTCGGAAGGCTACGTCCACATGGGAACGCCGGAATACACCAACAAAACCAAACAAACCGACGTCCGCAACGAGATGCACTTACAGCTTCGATTTAAGTCTACTTTGCCGGATATGGTTTTGTACTTTCGAGGTACCGTGGAAAACTACTTGTACTTAGAAGTAGCGGGAGGAGTACTGCGAGCTAAAGTGAAATCAGGCAAAGTACTGCAAGCGTCCCACCCTGTACCAGTCAACGATGGGGAGTGGAGAGAGGTTACTGTGACCATGGAAGAAAAACTGGTCATGGTTTTAAAAGGGCCGGGCTGTACAGAAGGATGCAAAGTGAAAAACGAAGGGTATAATCACTTAATGTTCCTACAACTTGGATTTTTTAAGGAGATGTACATAGGAGGAGCCCCGTCAGAGTTCCTAGCAAGAACTTCAAGCGGGAAGGGGTTTATAGGGTGCATGGAGGACCTGTATGTCGACCACAAGCCTTTACTGCCCCAGGATCTTGTGAGGGAGGAGGTCAGGGGGATGGAGCTGGGGTGCACCAAACAGGAGTGGTGTGAGGAGGACCCGTGCCAGGGCAGAGGGGAGTGTGTGGACCTTTGGGTGAGGGCCAGCTGCCAATGTCAACGGCCCTATTATGGAGAGACATGTGAAAAAGGTAAGAATAAGCAATGCATTTTTGTGAATTATATCTACAAAAAAGTTACTTATCCTTAATGTTTTCTTCTATAACAAAGTACAATTGTATAACAGTTGTTTAAATAGGGGACTTACTTAGGGATGCGCTGATACCGATTCTGGTATTAGATATTGGCGCTAATACTGAAAAATTTGCTTGATTGGTTCCATGATACTGGTTCACTTCAATATCCACTTGGGGTCTTTAATTGGATGTAAAAAGGCTATTTACAGGCAGATTTTGGCTTAAAATGTCTCATTGTTTGAACTTTTATTCATACTAAACTGTTTATTTGAAGGATTAATAACAAGTTCATTTTGTTTTAAGGAAATAAGTGTCATTTTCCATTCCTACTCTTATTCATAATATTAAAAGTATAATTAATTGTATGCATAACATTTTTAAACCATCAGCAGCTTTAAAGGGACAGTTCAGAATTTTGGACATAGGGCCTCATTTCCTAGTGAGCCAGAGAGTTGGAGACGTGTGGAGACACTTTTTTAAATATTCCAACCAGTCCTTGTATTTGCAGAGGTCGCTGGTGCTAGGCTAGTGCATGTCAATGGCCATAGTTAGCCTGCCACTAAAAACAGTCTTACCCACTCCACAAAACACCTGAAACAAACCTATTATTACACCAGACTATCACTGTGAATGTCTGTGTTGACAGAATAATGTTTGAAATAAAACTAACCTTGCATCGCATGAATCGTCACATGTTGAGGGACTATTTGCTCATATATCAGTCCGCCGCTGCAAAGTTTTCGATCAGAAAGTACAACTCACTGCTGCTCAGACACAAATCCTTCAAATGCAAGGTTGGTTTTACTTCTAAAATTATTCTATTGACACAGACATTTACATCAACAGTCTGGAGTAATAATAGATTTTCTTCAGGTGTTTTGTGAAGTGGGTAAAACTGTTTTTAGTGGCAGGCTAACTATAGCAATTGACATGCACTAGCCTAGCACCAACGATCTCTGCAAATAAAAGGACTGAATGGAATATTTAAAAAAGTGTCTGCACACGTCTCTAACACTCTGGCGCACTAGAAAATGATACTCTATGTCCAAAATTCAGAACTGTCCTTTAATAAGTACTGTGATATAATCGTTAATCACAGTTATTTTAGCCATGACAGTTGTGACACCTAATTTCAGTATTGTACCATGCCTACAAGATTGTGCACGCATGAGACAAGTTATTTTGTGAGATTTTTCCCCCCTTAATTTACCTTTGGTTAGGACAAAAAAGAGTTAAGAGCTGGTGAGTTATATAATTTGAAAAGCTGTAGTTCCACAATCTCTACATTTCATCCTTTAATTGTTCTAAAATACTGCAAAATACTTTTATTTTTACTCTTAAGCTACATTTTTCAATAGGTACATTAATACTTTTATACTTAATATTTTAAAACTTTTTAAATACTTTTTAACTTACATTTGTATCTGTACATTTACTTAAATAACAAAAGTGAGTACTTCATCCACCATACAGGAAATTCCAACATTGGATTTAAACAGTTACTCAGTATATATAAGTAATGTTCTAATTTCAGTGCTAACATGTATTTAATATTGTTGCACAGTGATGTTATGACATACATTATAATGGACATAGCAGTAGCGTTGAGCGAACAGAGCAGACCTCTCCCACACTGTGACCTCTGTAAACCTGGAGGATGTGGGAGCAGCTTTATCTGTGATTTAGTTAAAGCAGAGGTCATTTTACATTTCAGCGTGTCTGCTCAGTGTTTGGCTTTGGTAATTGCTTTCCTCCTTTTTCCAAGACATGCGAGACTATATATGGTTTATCTAGTTAACTATTTGTCATCGGATTAAAAAGAACATTGGAAAATATTGCGTAACTTTTTTGGTGGTGGACCTGCTATCTGCTTGTCTCTATGGAAATGTTATTGTTCTGTTTTGGTTATTCCATAGTTAAAGGTGCAGTATGCAACTTTTTCTTTGGGGTCCATCACCTGCTGTTTCTATGGAAATGTCTGGAATGTTCCACAGTATGACATTAAACAGCTCTACCTTACATTTTTTCAATTACAGGTGGTTTTATAGTTCAAAAATACCAATAAAAACAGGCATCCTGACTGTGAGCGGGGTTGCCTCTCCACAGATCTGACTAGTAACTAGGTCTGGTGTGGTCTCCATGAAGATGAAAAGGTTTAATGCCATACTGTGAAATATAACATAAATAACATGTCTCTATGAAGATAAATACACTTAATGCAACATTTCTATGGAAGATCATTTGTTTCGTCAGATTTTGAATTTGTCCCTTTGATTGTTTTAACTCTGAAAAAATATTATTTTTATTCTGAATGTTAGTTTCTGAGATTTTAAGTGTACATTTTCAAAGTGTCTGAATTTTGACTGTTGAATATGAGAATTTGAATATATTTGAGCTGAATATTTAAAAGGTGAATTTTTTATTTGGAATTTTAGAGTGCAAAATCTGCAATGAAAAAAATTTGCAGGAAAATCCAAGATGCCAAGGTCAAATCAATCCAAAGTGATCCGATCTAACTTAGTAACAAGCAGGAAATTGTGTAGTGAACCAGACTGATAGGTCAGAATTATCAAAACTGCATCTCTTTTATTTCTTAAGTGTAAATCCCGCCCACAGATGAGAACAGCCAATAGGAAACAGCCTCTGCCCACCTCTCTCACTTATGATCGATTGCTTCTGCCTTGCCATCTTGGATTTTTGTTGTGAAGTTTTTCACTGCAGATTGTACACTTTGAATTTTAACTTTTAAATTTGAGGGCTTGAAAATATCTGTGCTGCATATTTAAAAGGTGAAATTTTTTTATTTTGAATTTGAAATATATTGAAAAAGTATACTTAAAATTTCAGTAACTAAAATTCAGAATAAAAATAATTAACTTCCTGTTTCAGAAAAAATTCAAAGTGAGAAATTCAATAGGTATTTAAAATTCAGAATCTGATGGAACACATTATCTTCCATACATCTGATCTTAATCTTCAGATATTGTATTTATTTATTTATAGCATTATTTTTTGGTCAAACATTTTTCCAAACAAGGCTTACTTGTGTTAACTGGAATGTTAGTTTACAACAGCTCTGAAAGTTGTAACTGTTTCAAAAAGTTGGTGTTTCAAAGAGTATCCAAAAGCGGGCCAAAACAGCTACTATCAGGAATGCTCATTTGAGCTACCAGTAAGAAACTTGCACATGGCAACTAGGTAAACACGGTTGCTATGTCCTCGACGAATGAACAGTCTTGATAATATTTTAGATTTCAGCCTCCCAAACGACATACATTTTATCTACCTTTTGTTATCCTCTTTTTCAGAATACCCATCTTGGACATTTGGACAGGAAAATTCCACAAGCTACTCTGCCTTTTCCATCGGAGAAAGCCACGGAGAAAACTTCACCATTTCATTCCTCATGCGCTCACTCAAACACAACGGCCTGCTACTCCAACTCAGACGAGAAGAAAAGCCATACCTGACCATCTATCTCAAAGAAGGAACCGTCGCCATATACAGCCCCCACACCACTCTCCTCTCCGAAGCCAAGTTTGTTACCGACGGCAACAATACTTTAGTAACATTAAAGGTCCAGTATGGTCACGTGGTGTTTCCGAAAGCGGGGAACCATCGCGCCTTAGGGAATGTTACGATTGAAGCTGGAGATGTGGCGTATCTCGGAGGATTGCCCCCTGAAAAGAACATGAACGCGTGGGGAGGGCATTTTAAAGGGTGTCTTCAAGATGTGAGAATCGACGACAAGCATTTTAACACCGCGGAAGAGTCAGAAAATGAGGATGATTACCTGGTTCTACACAGAGAAAATGTGCTAGAGGGATGCCACAGTGATGACACATGCAAGGTAATGCAATATATTAACAGTGCACTATGTAACCTTGTTTGGCTGGGGGTCCGCTACATGCTTGTTTCTTTGGATATGTCATTGCTCTGCCTGGAATGTTCCACAGTATGACTTTAAACAGCTTTACCTTACATTTATTCAATTACAGGTAGGTTTATAGCTCAAAAATACCTAGAAAAACAGGCATTCTGACTGTGAGTGGGGTTGCCTCTCCACAGATTTGACCTGTAACTTGGTCTGGTTTGGTCTCCAGGAAGATGCATACTGTGAAACATTCCAGACAAAGCAATAACCTCTCCATGGAGAAAAGAATTTGCCAGACCGTCCACCAGAAATGTTACACAATGAATCTTTAAAGCTGAACAATTTTGGGAAAAAAATATTTGATTGCAAAACTCACTTCACAATGCACGTTTGAAACACATCACAATGATTTAAAATGAGTGAAGGGTCTCTACCTGAAACTTTGGTAAGGAATATGTTTTAGTTTGAACCTGTAATCCCGCCCACTTAGTCCTGTCTACCGCTGTGATATTGCACAACGACACAAAAACAACTGCCTGGAATAGTGTCTTGCAGTTGTTTCGACATTGTTTTCATCAGTCTCGGCTCACTTCATGCATTTTTCCTCTCTCTGTAACCACCATGACAGGGAAGCAAATGTCTCGGATAGTGTCTGGCAGTTATTTTCCCATGATTCCAAGTAAGTGGCAAGGCAAGTTTATTTAGCACAATTCATACTCCAAGTAAGTCAAAGTGCTTTACAGAATACGAAATACATTAAAATCACAATACAAACAAATCAAAACATAAACAATCATCATAAAATTTAAGAGAGAGTGAGAGAGAGGCATTAAATGAGACAGAAAAGAAGAGTGCAGACAAACACAACTGTTTTGAGCCTGGATTTAAACAATGTCAAAGTAGAGGCCTGTCTCACATCTTCAGGAAGAATCTGAAACGCCGACTCTCCGTGTTTAGTCCTGACCCTGAGCACCAGCAGGAGTCCAGTCGTTGAGGTCCTCAGTGTGTGCTATGGCACTAACATGTCAGAGATGTATTTTGGTGCTAGGCTATGGAGAGACAAGTGCTTCTCTATTAGATATTACTCAACAAAAACTTTGTAAAGTTCTTTAGATTATGTTTTTTTTCTCTCAGTTATTTAAATTTACAATATATTTCTAAAAATTGACATTTATTTCAAACACAATAAATTCAAATTAAGTACAAACCCAGTAAGAATCATGTCTGGAGAGGTCTAATATAAGAGGTTAGAAATTGGCATGGCTTATGTGGATTTAGAGTACCATTGGTCAAGACACTGTATTTTTTTGTGCTACCTCTAAGCCTGGATAAATCGAGATGCAAATGTCAGGAAAGGCATTTTAAAATGTTAATTAATTCAGGCCAGGAGACCGTGACTTTAAACCTTATAAGTTACCTTCCTTAGGCTGAAAACAATAAATTACATCAAATAATTTCTGTCACTAGACAAGTCTTGAATTGCTCATTGCGTTATAGAATATAACAGATCACTGATGAGTTATGGATTAAAGGTCCTATATTATGGAAATTGACTCTTGTGAGCTTTAAGCCAGGCTAAAATTCTCAAAAACATACCTGGAGTTGTGTTTTAGTTCAAGTAATAATTCATTATTTATTATCTACATCTCCAAAGCTCAAAATGTTCCACCTTGTGAGGTCATGAAGCAGAAGGTTTTTTTTATTTTTTTTATTAGTGTTTGTGCATAGATCCAAGATCCAAATGATTCTAGTGAAGGTGTAAAAATACAGTGGAGCACCTTCTGTATTGCCACATGACATCACAAGGTAGAACACTGCCTAAATATGAAGGATTTGTGTGTTAAATATGTGTCAATGAAACAAAATACAACTCCAAGTATGAGAAAACAACTGTATAACAAATAAGAAAATAGCCAATTAAGACAAGTTGTTGCTCAGAAATAAGCATGTGTAGTATTGGTAAGGTATTGTGGTAGTAGTAGACACAGTAGTAGTAGCAGGTGTGTTGTTAGAGCCGTAGTGAAGTTTAAGTTCACTGTTTAGATTCTCCCAAATGGGATTATGGCCAACAAAGTGGACCATACACCTGCCATATGTCAGGGTCAAGCACCGATCATTCAGAAGTCGGATCAAAAAACTGTCTCGCATAAAAATCAGGTCTTCCTTTCAAATGAAAAGTTCAAATCAATGTCAAATACGTCTTGCTGCTGTGAAATCACGAAGTCTACATTGCCTAAAACCCATTAACATCGATCTCGCTGTGAATCCTTTGATCTGCGAGTTAGCCTTCAATCCTCTCTGCAGCTAACCGCGCAGCTCGCATCAGGTGAGAGAATTTACAACAAGCGATCACTACATTAGCCTAATCCATCCATCTGTCTTTCCCTTTACCCAGAATGCACCCTGTCTCAACGGTGGACACTGCGAGGTCACCTGGAATGACTTCAGGTGCAAGTGTCCCAGTAACTTTTCCGGGCGCGTTTGCCAAACCCGTCTGTGGTGCGTGGACAACCCGTGTTACGAAGGAGGCCGCTGTATAGACCTGCATGACGGATATGAGTGTAAGTATCACATGAGAATATCACTGCATTCAATCAAACAAAAACATTATGATAAACACCAGCACACTTTATTGTACTTGTTCATTTATTTTGAATCACACATAGTCTGGCAAATATTTCTAGCCTGAATGTTCGGCCGGTTTCACTTCGTGGAAACCGTCTGACCTCGCAGCATTAGGATTTGTTCGCTTGATGGTAGGCGGGTACTTTTTTAAAATTTAACCAATCACTGCTATTTGGTTGTGACGTATGTAACGCACCAAATCCTGTAGAAAAAAGGGCAATAACGTCTTTCCCCTTGATAAAATTCACCAAACATTCTCTTTGTTCCAAATTAAAATCCTCAATCTCGGGAATTGTTGCCAACACAGAATGTGGCTTCGTCTACATCCATCTCGACCGCTTTGTTTACTGTTGTGCTGTACCACAAAAGGGACCCAGACAGGTGCTTGAGTTTGACGTCATGGCTTCACAGCTCTTCGCTGATTGGCCAGTGCGTGGTCTATAACTTCTGAGGTTCTTGCAATCCATCTAGTGTATTCCGATTCCTTACCTAGTCCCTGGAGAGAAATGAAATTGAGTGGAGGCACTAGGTGGCACCAGCCTGGTTAAAATATTGCGCTGATGTACAAGCAAGTTAGAAGTCACTTAGAACTACAGTAAAGACAAAACTGTTTTATTGTCCTGAATTCAAACACATGAATAGTAATAGTAAATGTAAAGGATGATGAAATAAGTAGGATTAGAATAAAAAAAGGCTCTGTCAAATGCTTTTCTCCATGGAGATGATACTGCTTTGTCTGGAATGTTTCACAGTATGGCTTTAAATCTTTGTATCTTCATGGAGACCAAACTAGACCACGTTACAGGTCAGATCTGTGGAGAGACACCCTGCTCACAGTCAGAATGTCTGTTTTCCTAAGTATTTTTGAGCTATAAAACCACCTGTAACTGAATAAATGTAAGGTAGAGGTGTTTAATGTCATACTGTGGAACATTCTAAGCAGAGCAATGGCATCTCCATAGAAACAAGAAGGTGGCAGCACAGTGCACCTTTAAAAAAAATAAGTTGTTTTTGTTTGTATATTCGTATTACTATATTTCTATATGTTTTTATTTTTACTTGTACCAGTTTCTTGCTTATTTTGCTTCTTATTTAAAATTTATTATCACCATTTATATTTTTGCTCTTTGTTGTTATATTATATTGTGACATGTGAGCTACTGTGTCCAAATAATTTCTCTTATAGATCAATACAGTTTTTCTAAGACTTTGAATATAATACTAAATATACAGTATGGGCAGAACAACAGTAGTGTAGTAAAACTATTAGTGTAAGTCTTTTAATTATGATTCAAGTACCGCTAAGTTGTTTAAAGTGACAGGTGTCGTAAAGCGTTCATGAGATCAATGGTAGAGGGGAAGAAACTGGAAGAAGGGGAGGGTCTTACAGAGACCCTGTCCATGGTGTGGAGGGTCAGCTGTGATCTAACCTGCTTGCCAGAGACCTGAAGAGAGTACAGTAGTAATCCAAATGCACTCACAGAAGAGGTCAAGTCGTACCGGGCAAGAGCCAAGTTTGTTTATACGACTTGTAATTAGCAGACTAGACTAGACTAGAGCTCCTAGAAATGGTAACACGTTTTGCGTAGTACCCAGTATTAGACCTGGGAGAAATACTTACTGCGACATGTGAGGTGAACTTTAAGCCTGCATAAGAGGGTTATATGTTTAAAGCACTTTTAAATTATTTATTAATTTATTGATAATAATTTTAACCTTTTCCTAGTGCAAAAAAAACCCAACCAAACAAAAAACTGTTAACAATAGGGTCAGGTCAAGCAGAAGTTTACAGCAAGACCAAAAATTCAAGTTAATGCATCTGATATAAAAATGTATTGAACAGATACATATGTACTCTAGTTTATGAAACTGTTTACCTTTTTTCTGTACCATTTTTGGTTCTAAAGTTTCATACGTTTTAAACAGACCATGTATGAAACATGGAACAAAAATTATTTCCCAAATTTCAAAGACCTGCAAATCATGTAAATAAATGGATGTATTTCATCATATCTTGTGTTATTCCATCTTTGAACTGTTGATGAAGGTACATGATTTCTAAAAAAAAAAATGTATTTAAAATGATAAAAAATTTGCTTGGAAGGACTGACATATTTTATAGAAATAGTTTCCTTTCATTTTGAAGTAATATTAAAAGTATTCTGAAGAAAAAAGCTGACAAATTATCCAAAATCCTGCACCTTCTACTTGCTTGCACAATTTTCCCTCTGTTACTTTTCCCTCCGCTACCATGATCTTTCTTAATAAAAAATCGTATTACTCAAAAAGCAAGAGGTTTTTCAACCTAATCTTGTACTATATGGTAGAAAACTATATGAAGCAAATATTCAAACCAGTTTGTTAAGGATATGTAAGTGAGAACCGCTAGTTATCACCGTTTGTATTTATTGCCCATAAAGTGTTGCATATTTCATTCCCTCCGTTACCGACATGAGTTTTTAAATTTTTTGTCAACAACTTGAAAGAATATCACAGGTTTAACTTGACCCTGTTGGAGTGTAACTCTTTCCTACATTCTGATACTTTACTTATTTCAATAGTCCCTCTAGTTTCTGAATAAGAGCTATTTGAATGTAAAAAATCTACCCGTTTCCCTCCGTTACTGCTTGACCGGAACCAATAGTACTAACCTCTACTGACCGGCACAACTACGCCTACAGCCTGATCATTTCTCAGACAAACTCCTGTCGTAATCACAAAGAAAAAATGCTGTGGACATTAGGGTCAAGAAGTTAAGTGTGCAAATAAATACTGCACCTTGTTCCACTAGAAAAATTATAAAATTATATAAAATAAAGGAACAAAGACCACTGATCACTTTGAATCTCCACCATAACAGCAAACAAGTTAAGTCAAGTTTATTTATAAAGCACATTTAAAAGCAACCACAGCTACCCAAAGCACTTTACAAAGGCAATACAAAGTGCAATCTAATACATACAAAAACACAGTAAAACAATAAAATACAAACGTTCTGCTGAGCTTGTGTTAAATATACAAATGAGTTTCAAGAAAGATTTAAAAACATCTTAAAGACTGTGCTGCTGTAATATCCAGAGGAAGTCTGTTCCAGAGAGAGAGACCAGCTACAAACAAAAGCCCGGTCCCCTCCGGTGACCTCCGGGAACATGCTTTTTTTTTTTTTTTTTTGCTGTACTAGAAAAAAGTTTAATTGCACATCCACTACAGTAGTTGGCAGTGAGTGTGCGCAGGGAGTATTAGCCAGAGGAGAGACCAAGTCATTGTTTTGCAAGTCTCAAGTAAGTCTTGAGTCTTTGACTTGAAGTCCAAGTCAAGTCTCGAGTCACTTGCCCATAAGTCCAAGTCAAGTCCAAGTCCTCTGTTTTGAGCTTCAAGTAATTTCAAGTCTTTAACCAAAAAAGTACCAAATATAGCTTAGGGTTTTGATATTTATATGACTTTTATAGTAAATTGTACTTAAATAGTCATGACATGTTTATATATAAGTATTAATATAAAGAGAAATGCTATTTTTTCCTTTTTAAATGTATTGACAACAGTGAGAATCATTCCGGTCAAAATAGAAAAAATTAAGATTTAAAAGTGCTTAATAACAGTTAGTTAGTTGTGTGTCTGCACTGAAATGGAAGGATCATGTTCTATGTAGTTCCCTGTTTTACTGTGTTGTACTGTATATTACTGTAGTACATTTGAGGATACCATCTCACAGTACTTCAGTTACATCCAAAGTAATAACATGTTCCAGTTTGTTTCTGTAAAATTAAGCATCTCATGTATCAACTGTAAAGAGAAAAACATTTTCTAAAAACAAATGCTTTTTTAGGAGAAGCATCAAGTCTTCTCAAGTCACAGGCCTCAAGTCTGAGTCAAGTCCTATGTCTATGACCTTCAAGTCCGCATCGAGTCCCAAGTCTTTTTATCTGTCTATGTCTGTTTAATCAAGCCAAGTCTCAAATCCTAAAAATAGTGACTCAAGTCTGGCTCGAGTCCAAGTCACGACTTGCAAATCCCCACCTCAGGTATTAGCGCTATAGAGTTGGGTTTTTCTGCACTGAGCATACACACACACAGCACAGAGCAGGAGATATGAAGTGTAGAGAACAAACTGTATAAAAAGCATATGTAGCGCTTGGCTTTACTGTGATTATGGCGAGAAAGACTGCTGTGTTTACTGTGTCTAAAAATGTTAGCAGCAGACAGTATGAAGCCAAATAAATAACAGTGCTGCTTAAAGACATTCAGGGTATCCCCAGGTTTACTACCCAAAATTTAAGACTTTTTAAAGACCTTTTTAAGACCACTTAAATGAAAATTATGACCAACATTGCACCCATTATGTGAGCAAAAAACATCAGATCCAATTCTAATAATGGCCAACCAACTATGGTACTACATCTAGAATCTAAGAGCCACTGTGGACTAAACCTACACTTCCCCTTGATCCATCCAACGTCTTCCTCCACTGTACTGATTGTTTACTCATTGCCGCCGGCAAACCAAAGTGTTGTTTGCGCATACTCCAAATTAGACGTTCATTCACGGAATTTCACGTTATTGTTGTTTTTCCCTCCTTCCATTTAACATTGCACTGCAGACCGGTTGAGTATACAGAAAAACAGGCAAATTAAATTTAAGACAGTTGTGAAAAAAGTAAGACTTGAACAATATAATTTAAGACTTTTTAAGACCTTAATTTAGGAACATGAAATTTAAGACCTTTTTAAGACTTTTAAGACCCCGTGGCTCCCCTGACATTACGCCCCAATCATGCTGATTAGCCATTTGAATTTTTTCAGTGACAACATGCCGAATATTGCGAACAATCATCTCGCTTTGTGAATGATACTTCAGTAAACCAGCAAGCACTGTTTGCATCATAAAAGGAGGCGTACCAAACAGCAGAGGAGCTGATACTGCTGCAGCTTTAGACATGGTTTCTGTCACGCTGGATATTGAAAGTACCATGAACATGGACATCATCTTTAAAGACGAGGAGGACACAGGAGCATACTGCTTCAACACGCAGGTAAGCACTGCACGGAATATGGACGGAGACATGCTGCGTGTGTTCCAGGAGTCGCTTTGGAGACCCGACTAAAACATTTGCTTTCATATGTAGGCGACTATAGAGGCTCAAAATCTTTTCTTCTTCCTGGGGGGGGCGTGACAGAAAATAATTGAGATTGAGTATGCTGTGGTCCAAGACAGGAGGAATGATCTGACGAAGGCTTTTTTGCCAAAATGTTATTTAAAAATAAAAGAAGCTTTTAGACATCAGTCATCTGGGTGTGCTATGCATTTTTTCACTTGTGTTTTGCTGTTCCTTGCATTTATACCTCTACAAGAACCTTGGTGTGTGTTTCCTGTTTTATTTGAGAAAATAATTGAGAAGCACTGACCTGAACTACGATGTATTTCTGTTTGCAGGTTTGACAGAAGCCATCTTCCAGGACAACTCTCTTCAGTTTGCAGCCAATGGTTCGTTGCTCAGCCCAGTTACCAGCATCACCCTGGATGTACGAACACGCGACGAGAACGGCATTCTACTCCGCGCTAACGGCAAAACCCAAGTCTTCTGTTTGGGCCTGCTAAACTCCACTCTGTTGGTCAAAATGGACAGTGGCGCTGGATCTGAACTTTTAGCCTTTACCAGCGAACAAATCATTTCAGATGGAGCATGGCATCACATCCAACTTACCATGGCGGACCCCGAAATGCCCTTGTCTCGCTGGCGCCTCACTGTGGACGGAAACAGATCCGGCAGCAGCTTCGGAAATGGCGGAAACCTCAACTTCCTGAATGACACGAAAATCTGGCTGGCCGAGAAGTACACCGGTTGCCTTGGAGAAGTTAGAGTAGGCGGAGTCTATCTTCCGCTAATAAAAGTCGACGAGGTTCCCCAAGCTAGTCGGTTTATACGATTGGCTGGACATGAACCAGATATAGGGTGCAAGGGTGCTCCCATCTGCGACTCCCAGCCTTGTTTGAATAACGGGGTGTGCCAAGATCAATTCAATGAGTTTAATTGTAGTTGTAGTCCGGGATGGGAGGGTGTCCTGTGTGAAAAGGATATAAATGAGTGCGAATATAGCCTCTGCGTCTACGGAACATGCACAGATCTGATGGCGGACTACAGGTGCGACTGTGAGCCTGGATACATAGGAAAAAATTGTAACGAAGAAGTGGACAACTGCCTGGAGTTCAGCTGTGTAAATGGGGGGACATGTGTGGAGACTGTAGGGACACACACCTGCTCATGCCCACAAGGGTACACTGGAAAACGCTGCCAGTGAGTAGATAACTTGTGTGTTGTTTTTTTTTTACTGTAGATTTCTGACAATATAATATCATAAACTGTTAAACTTATACATAACTGCTGAACAAGCTATGGCAAAATTTAAGTCCTTAACAGTCAATTCGACATAACATGGGCAGCCTGAAGTGCCCCAAATCAGATTTTTTTGCCCCTATGCGACCTGTATCTGAACAGTCTCAACTACATAGATCAATTTTTTTCAAATGTGACCCAGGCCACTTGGAAACTTTTCCTCCCGCGAGAGTGGTACAAGTAGGTGCTCATAAATGTACACAAACGTTCTTCTCATCATACGAAACTTGTGTATGAACTCCGTGTGAGTGAAGCAGTGAAGCACATAGCGATCCCACCACTCTTGGCCCACAAAACACCGTGGCCAAAAACCTCATCCTTCTCAATCTCCTCCTTAAAACAAATAAGCTGTACAAGTTCTGGCTCCAGTACAACAGCAACTTTAAAATCTCCAGGTAGCATTTTGGGGCTTTTAAAGTTCCCACTGGTGATCAGATACAGGGCGCATTTATTTGGAAAAATTGGATTTCACAAAAAAATCTGAATTGAGCATTAAGCCCTATAGTCTGAACGGAGCTTTAGTTTTGGTAAAATTGATTTTGAATTTGAAGACGCAGAGCCATACCAGCTTGTGAAAGCCTGATCCTGTCAGATCTCAGAAGCTAAGCAGGCTGGGCCTGGGTAGTACTTCGATGGGAGACCACTGGGAATTCCAGGTGCCACAGTGGGGCGCCAGTGGCAAAAACTGTCGTTGTGTCCTTCAGCCACATTGCCTAGTATGAAAGTGGTGTGTGCGTGAGTGTTGGTGGTGATCAGAGGGGCCGATGGCGCAGATTGGTAACCTTGCTTTTGTCAGTTTGCCCAAGGGCAGCTGTGGCTACAGTAGTAGCTTACCACCACTAAGTGTGAAGTGAATGAATAATGAACTGTAAAGCGCTATGGGTATCTTGAAAGGCACTATATAAATGCAATGATTAATTAAATAATAATAAAAAATTTCTGGCAGCAAATATTTGAACTTTCGAATTTCAATGCTTTTTTGTGTCCTTTAGGTGGCGCTATCCTCCGGTCTCATGTGATGTAAACACCCCCTGTGAAAATGGCGGCGTGTGTGTTGGAGGGGACACAGGAGGAAACTGCACCTGTAAGCCTGGCTACACTGGCTCCAGGTCAGTACAAGACGCTCTCCATTTTAAACTGTCATATACCCTGTAAATACAACTGTCAAAAAATGATGACAATACCATATACCTTAAACAGCACACAGAAAAACAGGGATGCACCAATCAGATATTTGTATCGATACTGAAAATAGAAATTGATGTAATAAGATCAAAAATTCTTAGAATGTTTGAACTTTTATTTAGACAAAGCTGTTCTGTAGTTACTTGTTACATTTGGTTCAGTTTTGATTTATTTTATTTTAAAGTAGGATGTGACCGATATGGATATTTTGGCAGTTGATATGATACTGATAAAATGGGAGTTGGAGGTGCCGATAGCCGATATAAAAAACTGTATATTTTGTGATGTATAAATTCACTGTAAATCGTAGGTTTGGCTCTACAGGAAATTACATTTGTTGTTATTCTGCCTCTTTCCAGTCATATTTAAAGACAGTAGGTCGGCCTAATGCTATTTTTGCATGATATTCTAGCCAGTGAAGAAATTAAGTAAAGTACTGCTATTAGTCTGTAGTGGTAAATGCGTGTGTGCTGTGGTAATTAATTATATGCGTAAATGCCGATCATTCACACCTCTATTCACACCTCTATTCACAGCTCATTTACATATCACTGCAGGTCCAGTGACATGTGTAGAGCCACTATAGTCACTTTACGGTAGACAGTAGTAGTAAGAGACAACAGGCTGGACTGTTTATGTATGGTAGCTTGCAGCAGCTAAGTGCTAATGAGAAAAAACGAAAAAGTAGCTTCAAAAACCAGCACATTTGTAACACTCACCGCTCACATAGGCACCTCTCAGATCACAAGTCTTCACAAATAAGTGTCCTTTAAATCCTGACTCAAAACGATCATCCTTATAATATAATAATATAATAATCCGGCATGTTGGCAGCAGCTGCACGTGTAAAAAGGCGCACGTGTGTGACATGACTCTGGGGGTGCGTTCAGGGAAAGTACGGTATCACAGACACAGACAAAAGATTCCGCAGATAAATACTGATGCGGTGCCACATATTAGGACCTTTATCTGTCTGTAAATTGGATTAAATGGACATAATATAGAGTCTAAGCTTTATAATGAGGTATAACATGCCCACGTGGACTATCGGGTCATATCGGCAAGATTCAGGCCGATAGCCGATATGTCTCCAAATAGTACAAAGAAATGCAATGTGTAAAATCTAACTGATGTTCGTGTTCGCATACCATACAAAAATTTAACAGAAAAGCCATTGCTAGTGGTAAAAAAGCATGTACATTTTCTACACTACTAGACCATCTCTGTGGTGTGAACTGTCTGCGACCTGTGAGCAGAGGTCAGAGGTCATGGCGAGCACTTCCTGTCAGCCGGAGTGATGGTTTGTGTTGTGATGTGTTACAGGTGTGAGACAGAAATAGACGAGTGTGCGTCGAGCCCCTGTCTGAACGGAGCCACCTGTCTGAACCGACTTAACCGCTTCCAGTGCATCTGCGCCCCGGGCTTCAGCGGAAAGCTCTGTGACAGCACCGTGAGTTCTTTTCCCACCTCTCTGCACACAGCAAATGTAGTGGTTGGTCATTTAAAAACATGACATATGCTTTATTTAAGGCTTTATTACATATGCTTTTTGTCACCTTGGTAATTGTATTTTGTGTTTTAGAACATAAAATACTACCTACATATGTTCAGAAAACTTACTAAACTATAACTATACTTAAATAACATAAATTCAAGACATAAAGGTACAACAAGATTTTCCTTTTATTTTTTATTTTTTGCAGTGTTTGCACCAACTCCCATTGCTATTCGAAGGCCATATATTGTGCAGCCCTACAAGAGGCTATAATCAAATGATTTACCTTATGGACCCAAAACTGTGTAGAAGATTTTCGGTTTATTTAATGTTTCTGTCACTCTGGAGTAAATTGAAATTGACTTCTTAGAATGTAGATGGAAATGACCCAGTGCACAGGGTTACTGACCGAATGAACAATGAACAAAGCTATAGAAAGTACATGATCTGTGAAATAGAGACATACACCAGTCTATACACCATTTCATACTCACACATAGATTGATTGAATAGACAACACAAAAACCTTATCATCATCTTCTTATCTAATTATTGAATCAGACTTCTTAATTGTCATGCTAACATTTTTTTATGATTTTATTATTATTTTTGAAAGCAGAAGAAACAAGGTTTTGAATGCTGTAGATCTGGGATGCATCTTGAAACGTATATGAAGCTAAGAACCTTAGATCCAGGACATTAGTGATGCGCATGTCCCACATATTCGGACAGGTTTCTCTCTAGACCTTCTCCTGGACCTGGAACTGACTCTGAAGTTTAGCTCGATGTTTTCCCGAATGTTCTTAACAATGATAATGCATTAGCCTTATATAGCACTTTTCCAGACTTTTCCCTAGGACGTTTGGCCGGGGTAGGACCATAGTCGGGGTCAGGTGTCATCGAGTAGGACCACTGTCTCTTCGTCGCCCTTCTCTTTACCTCGACACGACGTTTGGCCGGGGTAGGACCACAGTCAGGGTCAGGGGTCATCCTGTCGGGCCGCTGTCTCTTCGTCCCCCTCCTCTCTCTAGGACCACAGTATTTGGGCAGTGTTTGTTTCCACATGATATATATCTTGTGTAGATAAAGTTTTGGTTCAAGTTCTTCATCAAGAGCGTGAAACTGTCTGAAATTGTCAAATAAATAAAGACTTACTTATATCATATGTTATATTTATAATTGGAACAATAACTTACAAGCTGGTCATCTTCAGCTCAAACAAAGAAAATAAAAGCTTCTGCTAGCTGTGGGCTTGTAAAAGTTTTACAAATTTTACAGAGGGAGGGTAACATTTTTAAAAATAAATCTCTGACACTTTATTGACGCAAAGGCGGCAGGCAGCTCTTACCATACATGATGTTGTGTCTGTTATGAACTCTAAGAAACATGCTTGTGTGTGGACATATTCTAATCCACAACGAATATAAAATTGGTTTGATTTTTATCTTTTATTATTCATTAATAACCACACAAGACCAGCTTCCTTTCAAATGGCCTGTTTGTTTTTGCACTCATATCTGACAAAGGAAATAAAGTTTACCATGTAACCCCAGGCTAGTGACTCTCAGGAATTAATGGAGGGAGACACTATAGGTCAGTTTGGTAACGTACACATACACGTTTTTAAATGAAAACAATAAACTTATCAAATCTGCAGGGAAAGATGTTTTACTATTTCGTATACACATCGTGTAGTTTAGAGTTATATGGGACTTTGCAACTATTCTGTACTTCTGTCTTTAGAAAGTCGGTCACAGAAAGCTAGTGTAAGATTTAGAGTTTTTTTTTTTTTTTTACTTTTTACTTTCAACTGATTTATACCTAATTACAAGCACATTGAACATCTGATCCGAATCCTACCTAAAGCCCAGCACCTACAGATCATGAACCAGTGCTAGTGAAGCCTCTGCAGCTTAGTGAGTGAATTCTGGAGGTCCTGAGCTTTCACAAAATCCATGGCCTGTCCATATACTGAGAATGAGAAAAACCTGCATGTGTCCTCTATCTCCAGGTTAATGCACAGGCACTGCACTGGAGGTTCAGTTGTGGTTGTAGTTGCTTGGTTAAAACTGTAAGAGCAGTGGCTGTGTGCAGTTCAAGAATGACCAGTGTCCACAACAGAGGAGAGAGCTGTTTTGGGTTAAACACTGGTGGATTACTTAAACTATCTTAAACTTTGACTCAAATACACATAAACAAGACAGGAGTAGACTGCTGAAGTGTCCATGTGTTTTTGGTCAGACGGATTATTTTCCTCACACACTGCCAGCACTTCAAAGCTGCACTAAAGTGAGGATGCCAACTCAAACAGATGGATTATTTTGTCTTTAACAACCATCAACCTTAACCCTTATTTCAGTGCACAGGACAGAAACTATGGCTCTGGGGACTCTCATGACTTTATCAACAATTATTACACTTTATGCTGTTTCCTCATCAAAAACATACCTGGAGTTGTGGTTTTTTTTTTCATCTAGACAGAAAATCATTTGGATCTTTTTAGCCCTGGAATTGCCCATTTCTACCAAACCAGGTAAAAGGAGCTGTTAACTTGCAAACCTGTGTGAATGAATCAAAACACAACAACGCAACGTTTTTGATGAGATAACAGTATTATAACATGGTTTAAAATGCGCAAGACTCAATTTTGCATTATATATGACCTTTAAAACAAATAAAAGGGAGTTTAGGAGCAATTTTAGCAATTTCAGTTCAGAGGTTTCTTGTACTGTAAGTCCATGAATGGCCAGACTCATGAGCATTTCAGACATCAAATTTGAAATAAAATCTTACCTCTTCTATATTAGTGCCTCATTTCTGTCTTTTGTGTTACAGCAAGAGGAGCAGAAGGAGAGGGTCCCGTGGCTGGCTGTTACCATCCCTCTCACCACCCTGTGCGCGTTGCTGGCCATATTAGCCGTCTTCTTCCTGGTGATGACGGCACGAAAGAAGCGCCAGTCCGAGGGCACTTACAGCCCCAGCTGCCAGGAAGTAGCCGGAGCCCGTTTGGAGATGGGCAGCGTGCTCAAGGTACCCCCCGAGGAGAGGCTAATATAACTGGTAAAGAGGACCAAGCAAGGACATATAGAGGAGCGGAGGATTTTCTGGTTTAGTTCATGTGAATGTGAAAACGAAACCAGGTCCAAATCTAGAGTTAAAGGTGTGCTGTGTAACTTTTTGATTTGGTTTCTTTCTATGGATATCTCACTGCTCTGCCTAATGTTCCACAGTATGACTTTAAACAACTTGATCTTACATTTATTGAAGCTCAAAAATATCTAGAAAAACAGGCATTCTGACTGTGATCTGACCTGTAACTTGGTTTGGTTTGGTCTCCATGAAGATAGAAAGGTTTAATAAAATACTGTGAAACATTCCAAACAAAACAATAATATTTAAACGGAGAAAAGCGCTTGATGGACCCTCCACCAGAAAAGTTACACAATGCACCTTTAAACTAGGACTAAACACCTTTGAACCGAGTCCGGTTTGAAATGGACTGGATAAACCAGATTTAAACCAGGACCAAAGGGGCTGTCACACCTTGACAATTTAGCCAGCGTGTGCCGAAGTATGAAAAATTTGGCAAATACACTTGCGTACTGAGAAGTTATAGATAAGTTTTGTATAAGTTCATGAGCACGCTGAAACACGCTGGCATACGTCGACATACAGCAAGGTTGTCGAAAAATTTTGAGCATGCTGAAAATGTTCTGATGTACGTCAGTCAGTGTGTGCTCATATGTCCTGCATACTTGGGCCATAAGTTGTAGGTAAATTATTCGATCGTTGACACACGTTCACGCATGTTAATTGTAAGTTACTCATGAGTCCAAATACGTTGAGATAATGTCAGACGTACCCAGAACTTAGGAGTAACGCGCTTTGAACCTGTGTGTGACTTATATCAAACTTACCTCCAACTCGTATTGACGTATGCAGACGTATTTAACATGTTCCGACCACGACAACTTACTGAGCAGGTTTCTAACTTATAGCTACAGTATGATGGTGCATTGGCAGAGTGTAGGGAAACTAGTATATAAAAATGGGGAAACCGTCAGTACTCATCCAGACTTCATGGTGAGCAGAGCCTGTGGTCCCACCCGCTACACAAATCATCCGAGAGATGGAGGATCTGGCAAAGCTGAGATGAGAATATATACTAGCTGTCCTCCAACATCAGCATGATCTCATCGATTTGTCACTGTACCAGTTGCGAGTCAATAGAGCCAGAAGAAGAGATCACACTGATTAATGTTGCTACTGCGATGTCTAGTGCAGTTATGAAGCGTCAAGCGGCGGCCTTTTTATAGGCGACGACACGTGAGTTGTGGACGCTGGCAACACGCTAAGCATTAGTTGGTATAAGTTATATATAAGTTATCATTCTGTATCAAGTTACTAATACGTTGTGAATACGTCTGCCAGATGCCATCGTTTTAGGGACATTCTGGTACGTCGGCATGCGCTGGCTAAATTGTCAAGGTGCGACAGGACCATTACTCAAGACTTTACCAAGAACTGAATCAACACAAAGTGAAATCTAAGTCCAAAAAGGATTAAACCAGGACTAAAACAGGTCTGAACCAGGATTATTGGACCTCAGTATTGTGAATGTTTTTTAAAACTCTGGACCCATTCAGCTATGCATGGAATATTGAAACTACAGAAGCAATCGTGGGACATAAAGAGGGTCTAACTTCATGCACTAAACACTGGATAACAAATACTCTTTAATGGTCAACTTAATAAATGACAATAAAATGAAAACTACATGAAGAAGACAAAGAAAGAGGCTGACAATCTCTTGCTGAATGGAGTTTACACTGAATGGGAACTCACTGCAGACTTGAATGACTAAGTTCGAGAATGACACTTGACTCGTTTTGGACTTCAGTATTGTGTAAATATTGTACTTCATCTATGAACTCTGTCAGATCACTGCGTTGTAAATATTTCTGAGCAAAGTTGAAGTCACTGTATTTTGATAAGACTGCTATCCTTTCTTATGTATTTATTTTGAAGGTTTTACATATTTTTTACATTCTCTTCCATATTATGGTTTATTGTTCAGCTCTATCTATCTGATGCCACTGGATTTAAAGGTGCTACCAACTGCTGCCCTTGTGTTTCGTTTCATCTTGTGCTTATTCACAAATGCAATCACCATCTTGAGGTACTTAAACTATTTCTACGGGTGCTATAGCAAATTAGTGGTGGTCTTTAATATAATAATAATCATCATCATCATCATCATCATCATACATTGGTTAACTCAAAGGCATTTCACAAAAAAGTAACACTAAAACAAGGACAGTCATGTGTGGGCAAAGAGGAAAAGGTGTATTTTGAGTTCTTCTTACCCTTACAGGTCCATAATATGATAAAATTGCAATTGCCCAAAACCCAGATTTGACCGCCAACTGAATTTGTTTAAAAATGAGCACATACTTTCAAGCTAAAAAACATACCGTATTTTCCGGACTACAGGGCGCGCTCTTAAGTCTCCAACCCCATCAAAAAACGACTGCACGCCCCACAATCCAGAGCACCCAAAACACGAATCCACTCAGGTGTCCCAGCACGACTTCAGTAAACTACAAAGCCGCACCACCCGCAGCGAAAAACACCCACAGCCACACTCATGACTCCACGCTGACGAGGAACGGAGGAACGAACCGAAAAAGTGAGTTCAATGTGCCACTTCTCGCCACAACTGAACAACTGAGTCACTGCGAACACGCCGACAATCCAGTGGTCCCAGACAGCACCCTCCCTACACGCCACAATTCGTGTTTCGTTGAAAGTCTGGTGCAGTTTATTTGTGAAAAAAGTTTGAAAATAATAGACCATTCTATGACAGTGCGCCTTATAATCCAGAGCGCCTAATAGTGCGGAAAATACGGTATATATTTTTATTTAAAGGTCCTGTATTACACAAAATGGATTCTTGTGAGCTTTAAGTCATGTTATAATGTTACCTTCTGAAAAACATATCAGAAATTGTTTAGTTTTATTCACACATGTTTGAGTAAAGCTTTATTATGAGAATGTCTACATCTCCCAAGCTCAAAATGCTCTGTTCCACCTTGTGATGTCATGTAGTAGTAGTTTTTAAGATATCAGCTGCTTTTTACCTCTTGTTCAGTAGAGAAATGATTCTAGTCAATCAATCAAAAGTAGCCTCACCCCCACCCCATTGTTTCATCCATATATACAGTAGTTTAAACAAAAACATCAAACTCCTAGAGGTTAGAGTAAAAAAAAAAAAAACTAAAATTTGATGGCGAATAAGTAAAATAATAATAATTTAATTTAAAATTCATCTGCACCATCGGCCCCTCCGACCACCACCATCACTCACACACACCACTTTCATACTAGTCAATGTGGGTGAAGTGCCTTGCCTAAGGACACAACAACAGTTTTTTTTTTTTTTTTTTTTTTTGCGACTGGCGCCCTCCTGTGGCACCTGATTTTCCCTGATTCTCCCATCCAAGTACTGACCAGGCCCATTCCTGCTGAGCTTCTGAGATCTGATGGGAACAGGCTTTGACAAACTGGTATGGCAATAATAACAATAATAATAATAATAATATAATAATAAAACAAGTAAAAGTTTCAATTAAAAGCTAAATTGAATAGATATGTTTTGAGTTTGGTTTAAAAATATGAACACTCGCAGTGGACCTCACATCCTCAGGTCGACTATTCCACAGATGGGGGACATAAAAGCTGAATGATGCCTCACCGTGAGTTTCATTTTGGACTCTTGGGGGAAGTTAAAAGATGAGACTAGAGGACCTGAGAGTCCGAGAGGCTCATATGATAAAAGCAGATCAGATAAACAAATAGGACTAAGACCATTAAGAGCTTTATAAACCAATAAAACAACAATCTAAAAATGAATTTAGTCAAGATGTGTGGAGCACTAAATATGCAGGCTTTTGTGTTAAACATGTGGGAATGAAACAAAACACAACTTAGGTCTGTTTGTCATGAGGAAACAACATTACAGCACAAATCAGAAAATAGTGTAATATGGGGCCTTTAATGAGCTGTTTGTATGAATGAAGTCTTAATGAAGGTTAATATAAAAGGTACCAAAATGACATGCCACTGAATTGTGATAGTGCCTTTCGAATCTGCTTTTGCTATCGCCCTGTTTTCTTGCTTTGTAATATATAACTATTGTAATTGTACACACATCCAGATGGAGAGACAGTGTGATTGTGTACAGACAGGTAGTGATGTGACACTGGAAAGGTTTATTCAGCTGTGCTATGTACAGCTCACATCTCTGTACAGTGTTTGTGATTTTGTCTAAATTGTCTTTGTGCACGGTGTAACATTTTGGTTGTGGGTCCGTCACCTTCTTGTTTCTATGGATATGTCACTGCTCTGCCTGGAATGTTCCACAGTATGACATTAAACAGATTGAACTTACATTTATTCAATTAAAGGTGGTTTTATAGCTTAAAAATACTTCTACCTCTCCACCAATCTGACCTGTAACTTGGTCTGGTTTGGTCTCATACTGGGAAACATTCCAGACAAAGCAATCACATCTCCATGGAGAAAAGAATCTGCCAGATCCTCCACCAGAAAAGTTACACAATCAACAATGTTTAAATTGTGTTTCTATTAGTTTGAGTTACAAGTGTTATTTTGATTTTTGGTTCCTGTAAAAAGTATCTCTAAAGTTTTTGTTGTAAATTCTCGGTTCTGTTTTGTAAATAGTTGTAGATCTTCGGTGTCACTGGATTTGTTTTCATAAAACAATAAAAAACCCAGATAAATGATCATTGAGTGTGTGTCTGCAAAATAATATTAATAATAATACTCAAGTAAAAGTCTAAAATGTTTATTTCTCTTAAAATACACTATGTAACGTTTAGGGGTCTCTCACCTGCTTGTTTCTATGGAGATGTATTTAAAATTCAAAATAAAAAATTCACCTTTTAAATATTCAGTGCAAATATATTCAAGCCCTCAAAATTGGCAGTATACAAGATGCCAAGGCAAAAGAAATCGATCCAAAGTGATCCGATCTAACTTATTAACA